AAAAAAAAACCCCCAAATAAAACAACAACAACAAAAACTTTCTGTGAATGGTTCAAGTGTTTCCATTGGGTCAGGGAACAGAATATATGAACTGACAATAGCAAAATCTGTGGATGGTATATATGACAGAGATTAAAATTTAAAAAAAAGGTAAGTAAAGAGATGTCAACATGTAAATATCTAGTGTGATCTCACCCTCTCCTAATAAGTTAAATGTAGCACATTTATTCCACAGTGAGTTCTATGCAGACAAGGACTTTATTTCAGTTATTTGCATTTATATCTCTAATGCCTATAATAACCTTAACAAATAAACCTTAACAAAGTGTGTGTGTGTGTGTGTGTGAGTGTGTGTGTGTGTGAGTGTGTGTGTGTGTGTGTGTGTGGTTACTTACACCAGCTGGTGGAAATGCCAATGAATGTGCCCACTATAGAAATCATTACAAGGGTTTCTCAAAATACTAGAAATAAAACTGCTACATGCTAAAGTTATGTCACTTTTGACTATTTGCCTGAAGGGATCTAAGTCAGCACACCATAGAGGTACCTGCATATCATCTTTACTGTGGCACTCTTCACCACAGGGAATCTTCACAGTCAACTTTGGTGCCTATCAACTAACCGATGAATGGATAAAGAAGATGCATACACACACACACACACACACACACACACACACACACACATGGAAGGGGGAGGGAGAGTTTTATTCAGAATATCATGTTAAAATAAGTTATAATTGAAAAGACAAATAGCACATGTTTTCTCTCATGTATGGAATCTAAATTTGAAAAAAAAAAAAAAAAAAAAAAACAGCCCAAGATTTATCTACATGACACACAGTAATTAAAAATACCAGACTGGTGGAACTAACTTTCTTGGGTGTTTAATAGACATACTTTGAGGCCTATAATAATGGTCAGAGGGACATAAAGGACACTTTTTGCTCCTAGCTCTCCTAGATCAACTAGTTCCAGGGGACTATGAGCATCTCTCAAAATGTTCTATAATGGTGGTGGGTCACCTGTCCTCTTGATCAAGGAGGCCAAGGAGACCCCACCAGATGGACATGAACCAGTGTCCAGTCTACAAAGAGAGGGTCAACACAGAGGAATCATTTCCTCCATGCTTCCAAGTGAAGCCAACCATGGTCGAGTAGGACCTTTGACTTATCTTCATATAGGCAGAACTGGTAAAAGAAAGGAGCCAGGGGTTCCTTCCAAGCTCATGTGACCCCAGAGGAACAGATCCTCAAACGACCTTAACAGTAAAAATAAACTGGTTTATCTGGTCCAACTGTATGACCTTAAACACCTAAAAGGAAAATATAACCAAAGATTAAAGGGGCCAATATAATTTCATAAGAGTCCATATGTATAGCTAAAGGCTGCATAACAAGCAACAATGCCAGACAGGCGATACCTTCTTTTGAGTTGTTGGCCAGGGTGGCCAAAGGGATTCCCAGATAGTAATCCAGCGTATAACTGGGAAAATGAACAGCAGACCCCAATCTTATCCAAAGGAATATTGACAACTGATTACCACTAGATGAGGAACACCTGACCCTCCTAAAACAAAGCCCTCTAGATAGGCTGACTAGATTCACCAGAAGGGCAAGTAGTGGGGAATGACTGGGGGTGCTGACAACCCAGCAGACAGTAGAAGGGATATCAGAGTATAAGGGCTCTAGTGAGGGAGGGAGGGTAAGGGAAGGTGGTATCTGGGAAGTGGGCATAAAAATTAATAAAT